GCTGAAGTTGTTTTTTAGCTGCTGCAAAGTAGTGTTAAGCAGCAACCCTCCATGAGATGATAGCCAAAGAAATAAGGTAGTTTTACACCACACACCTTTACAGTTAAAGTTTGAAAACTGAAAATAGAGGAAGAATGTTGGATGCCTGTGCAAGAGAACATCCCTCTGCTAGCAGAGCAATCTCCAGGTTTCTCTCTGCAGTCCTGTATTTTTCACCATTGTCAGAAGTGAGGACAGTGTGAGGACTCTTGAGGAAAGGTGGCTGTGCACATTTAAACTGTAGTAATGCCTAGAGATCAGCCAGTCTGGATTTCTGTCATGCAGAGGCTTTGCACATGCATTGTGGCTGACTATCCCTGCCCATGGGAGCCTGCAAGGTGAATTGCAACAGTGAATGTACAAAGCAGAGGGTCTAGGTGGCAGGAAGAGGTAATAAAAACAACAGGACGTGCTCTGTTCCTGGTCAGCTGGAAGCAGCGATGCAGGTAACTGACAGTTTAGGTTTTGTGCTGTGCCCAGTGCAGAATTTGCTTCATACCTTTCCATCAGAGAATGAACTGTTACCCTCTTTTGAGGAGCAGCAGCAATGGTGTCTTGTGAGGAATAGTCTTGAGGCTCTGCATGGTAATGCTGGATTGTGTGCTCGCTTTGTTTTCCTTGTCTCTCACATTGGATGTTCTCCCTTTCCTACAGGTCAGCTTTTCTGGCAGCTCATATCCCTCTCTTCCTGTACCCCTTCTTGCACACAGTTAGCAAGACACGTCCGTTTGAGTACCTGCGGCTCACGAGCCTCGGAGTGATTGGTAAGTAGCCAGACTAATGCTGGAGCACTGGTTTCTTAGCAAGTTGGATGCAGCTCATGCTGTGGGTATAGAGACCTGCACAACCAAAATCACAGGTCTCTTTTTATTGGGATCTTCTGAGTCCTGTAGTATTAACAGGAGGAACTGTTCCTTTTCCATCAGTTGTGGAGGCAGGTTCCTCTTAGTGTGTAGGAATTGGGCTTTTCACTAACAAGAAAACATTGAAGTCTGGGTGCATTACCAAAAATATGTTTCCTGTGAGTACATGCACCTGCAGGCTTGTTGTGCCTTTACCCTCAGCCCAGCCAGCTAGACACTGGGATGGGTGGGTGCAGACTGGGCTTTCTTTGGGTTTTTGTCATTGATTGTCTTGGGCATATTTGCCCTGTCTTCCCCTTATCCTGTTTTTTTTTTCTTCTTTCTGCCCCAAACATTTCTCTCTTAATGCATGAAGTAAGAGGGTCTTAAAATGCATTTCTTCTTCCCAGAGGTTGCTGTGGGTGGCATGATCCTCTTGGGTTTGTGTTACCACTGGGGGAGACCCAAGAATGCATCCCCTTTCTGAAAAACAAACAACCCCCAAACCCAACTTGATTACTTTTATGCTGCCAAAACGATTTCTTCTCCAGCCATGTGCTGCAACATATTTAGGATGACAGTTGCTCTGCCTGCCATTCAGACTTAATGATTGCTGGGGAGGACACAGCACAGGCCCTCTTTGAAAGAGATTTTTTGAAATAATTTGTCATTTATTGATTTTGGCTTTTGTTTTTCCTTCAAGGGGCCTTGGTGAAAACTGATGAGCAAGAAGTGATAAATTTCTTGTTGACAACAGAAATTATCCCCCTGTGCTTACGCATTATGGAGTCTGGCAGTGAACTCTCCAAAACGGTACCTACTCTTTTTGTCTTAATTAAGAATTGTTGTTTATCTGTGACTGACCAGGCAGCCAGTAACATGCAGAGTTGGCTTGTGTCCTGTTGCAAATACTGGGGCAACTCTGGGTGGAGTTTTTACCTCCTCAAAAAACAAACCAAAACTACCAAACTAAGCTGGAGTTCCTGAGCTTGGGAGTTTTGCTGGGAAAGATCTTGCTGCTCTCAACACCCATTCCTTTCTTTGCAGCGTTGCAGAGTAACTCTCAGCGCTGAGCTGAATCAACTTTCCTTGGCCTGAGAGAACAAATGCTGTAGCTACGCAGTGCAGAGGTTGGGCGGCAGCTGTTAGTGGTGGTTATGGGAATGTTCACCGCACTGGACCAGTTTGTTGTCTCCTCTGATCAGGGGCCCCTTTCCCCCATGAGCTCAGATCTGTGGTCAGACGGGTCCGATGACCCAGGTAGGCTGGCCACAGGCTTTAGTCTGTGTGTGCTTCTCTGGTGAAGCCTGCTGACATAGCTGGCTGGCTGAGGTTCTTCCAGAAAGTCACGTGTATCATGATGAATCGGTAACGCTCATCAAGATGAGCACCAAAATCAGCTTGCCCTCTAGATGGCAGGACCAAGGGACAGATCCTTCTCCTGCTTCTTACTCTGTGACCAGAGTAGTGTGGCCGTAATCCCGAGGCTGTCCTGAGCGGCCTGGCAGTAGTTGCTGTCTTATGCAACCTGCATCCCGTCGTCTTGTACACACTGCTTTGTGACCATCTCTTTTCTTTAGCTAGAGATGCCAAGCATTGTGTAGTGTCCTGCATTTTCTTTTGGCTTTAAACTTTCACCGAGTAAAGCATTTGCTGCCTGCTGAAAGGCCTTTCAGCTCTGGGACTGCCTTGAAAAGAACACAGCACAAAGGCTGTCCCTTTTCAGGATACATAAGTTGTTTATACGCTTTCTTTTCTGCTTTCTCCCTATTCTAGGTTGCTACGTTTATTCTTCAGAAAATCCTCCTGGATGACACAGGGCTGGCATATATCTGTCAGACTTACGAGCGGTTTTCCCACGTTGCCATGATACTGGTAAGACTATTTGTTTCCTCTCTTTAAAAAAACAAAAAAATTATGCTCTAGCAGCCAGCTTCTTCAGCAGCTACTTTACTGCTCTCTGGCTGGAGCACAGGATGAGGGAGGCAAATCGTTCTTGGGCTTATTGCTTGCGACACTGTAGCTCTCTGCTTCTGCATGTTTCCTTTGTATATCTCTGGTTTGCATGTCAAGAGGGCACATATTAGTTGTAATATAGATATATAGTCCCCAAGATAAACCAGGTAAATATCTCCAGAGAAGAAAGAGTTTTCAGGGTTGTTGGTTGGATGTGAATTGATTTGATTTTATGTAAGAATGATCACATGGCTCAGACCATGGATCCATTTCCCATCTCTGTCTCCCACAACAGGTTGAAAGAGCAGCAGGTTGAGCAAAGGAGTAAGAGCAGGGCAAGCATATATGATACTTGCCCTCGTAAGAGTGTCACAGCTGCCAGCTATTTTCAGCTTTGGATTTCTGGGGCCAGTTGTGGGTTTTCTGTGCAGTAACCCCCAGTGTTTGTCCTATCCTCCCCTTGAACCCATGGAAACTTTTTGCATCCACAGTGTCCTTTACCAAGGAGTTTCATGGATTTTCTGTTCGCTGCCTGGAAGACCAACCTCCTTTTTTTCCTCTTTGAACCTGGCTCCTACTAGCTGTTGCTTATGACTCTAATTCTTGTGTTGGAACACAGAGAGAGCAGACAATTTTTGTCCATTCCCTGTCCCCTGTGAAGGAGAAGTTTGGGTACTCATAATGTATTCGTCCCAGGAGTAATAGCCCCAACTTGAGCTTTATCATCTTTGAGCTCACAAGGGGAATATATGTCTGCCCTAGAATAGCTATTGTCCTGCTTTTGTGTTTGGTTGGTTGGTTGCTTTTTAAAGAGCAGTCTCAGGAGAAGAAAATGCAGCATTAAGTGCTTTGCAATGCTGGTTCTGTGCCTAAATGTTGATGCTTTCACTGGGAATATTTATTTGTCTGTTTTCCCAAATGTAAAGAAAATGTTACCTCCTAATTCACCCCCAAACAGCAAAATATGAATCATTGTGAGCTGATGTCCATAATATCCCATGTGACATGATTTTTGCTTTCAAGAAAAGGATCGGCTTTGATGAAAGTACATCTGGCTCAGGGGCAAAGTGAAGGATGCAATTAGAAACCCTGGGGTAGGGGAGGGAAAGAGAACAAGATAGAATCCGTGGCTGGGAAGGGTTTGAACATGGAAGGATGTGCGTATGTAAAGCTGTGTTAGCATAGAAGAAATCCTAGCTGTGGTATAATCCCACCATTGGGTGAAGCACTGACATGATTAGTATTCCATAGCACTATGGAGAAAGATGAAAATGTTCATAGACATTTCTGTTCTCCATTTCAAAAATCAGGATTGCGTACTCCTGTCTCATGAGTGTGATGATGTACTTCCTTGTCTGCTGATAACTGAGTAAGATGTTACGAAAATATTAGATGCTTTTAAAAGACCAAGTTAGTATTTCCCATCCAGGAGCTGTCTGAGGAGCTCTCTGACTTGTTCTTTATTTCGAAGAAATATTGGTATCCTGGGGAATTGCCGAGAACAGGAAGCTTGCAAAAGGGCAGATGAGGGGGACCTGCTAATTGCTAACTGCCTGAATATCTAAACGCAGGTGAATTTGGCTAATGAGAAAAATGGTTAGTGCTAGCCAATGTAGTTTCACAGGAAAAAAAACGACTTGTTGGGCAGATCTGGTTGACTTCTAAATATGATGAAGCAGACTGTTAAACTCCTTCAAAGCAGGCATGTGAAGGCATCCACACTGTTTGCTAGGCTGGGTGCATTCAAAGGTGCAACCATGTGCAAAGTCGTGTACAGTGTGAGAAATGGAGGCTGGGCCGGGGAGATCTGCCCTGAGCTTGCTTCCCAGTAATGGCTTAATGAGGGATGTAGCAGAAAGAGAAAGTACAACTCCCGGGTGCGTGATAAGACCAGATGTGGATGTCACTATACGTGGTGTGGGTGAGCCCAGTACTTCGGCATGGCTTCCCACGCTATTGTTAACGTTTTAAAAGGGCGTTAAAATGAAGGCAGCGCAGATGAGAACAGGGAGTGTTGCAGAGCTTGGGAATGCACCTCAAGGGGTGACTCAGCCTGAGCTTATCAAAGCGTTTGGGATACGTTTGCCTTCCTCCATGAGGGGGAAACCCCAGGTTCTCTTTAGTCTAGCAGCGACTTGGACCGCTAAGCAGTCCTGGGGAGGTAAAAACCAAATAGAGATGAGACAAGTTTTCCCTGAGCTGCTGGGAGTAATCCTTTCCAAGTTGTGGCTAGCTGCTTTTCTCAAAGGCATCTTGGCAAGCAGAGCGTGGGCTCCATGCAGGGGTATCTAGATGAAGGGTAATGGGCTGTGGTATGTGGGAAGCCAGAGTGAGTGATTTCATAGTCTTTCCCAGTCTCTGCTGATTGTGAAGCTGTTTTTACAAAGACTTTAACTGGTGGCACTGGCCTCTGTCAAACAGGGTAAAATGGTCCTGCAGCTCTCCAAGGAGCCGTCGGCACGGCTGCTGAAACATGTCGTCCGTTGCTACCTTCGCCTTTCCGATAATCCCAGGTAAACATTTTAGGAGTTTGGGCAGGTGCTTCGGCTCCCTTGGAAGTGCAGTTCTTCCCCACGTGGGGAGAGTCAAGGTTCCTTGTCTGTCCACGTTAGCCTTAGCTCGGAGTGGAAAATGGGTGGGTTTTTTGCTTGGTTTGGTTTTTTTTTTATTGCTAGTCCCAGGAGCTTTTATCGTACATGGGAGAAACGGTGACTGTCTGGGGCTTGTGTAGATTCAAGCTCTGCAGGTTACGACTGCCTGAGCTCAAATGTAGCTTGAACTAGGTACGAGGGAGGGACTGAGGTGGAAGGTATGCTGTGCTCTCCCCCTTCTGCATCGTGTGGGCTGTTAGCAGTAGAAGCCAATGGATGAAATTCAGTTGAGGGAATACAAACTGGTTTTGTGCTGATCAAGCAGCTCTGCCCAAAGCCGTTGGGTATGTATGTGTTGTCTCGGCCTCTCCTGGCATCGCATTGCTCTTGACTGACAGGTGTCAGGGCACAGGGGGTCTAGCGTGAGGGGTGGGAGCCATGCTGGCTGGCCGAGCGCCACATGCTGTGGTGCTGCTGCTTGGTGCTTTCCTTGGCTGGCCCTGCCAGGGAGACCCCCAGGCAAAGGACCGTCGTGTCCCCAGTGGGGTTTGCTCCCCTCTTGCCCCTGTGAGTTTATTTGTTGGGCCCTGTTTCATGTCTCTTGATGTAGGGCACGTGAAGCTCTCAGGCAGTGCCTTCCTGACCAACTGAAGGACACCACCTTTGCCCAGGTCCTGAAGGATGACACCACCACAAAGCGCTGGCTGGCTCAGCTCGTCAAGAACCTGCAAGAGGGTCAAGTCACCGACCCACGGGGCATCCCTCTTCCTCCGCAATGACTGCTGGGGGAGGTGGGGGACCGGGGAAGAAACAGCTCAGGTTTACAAAGAACCAGGAACAGGTGACCTCTTCTGCAACAAATTGGGCACGCCAGCTGGCTGCCGGCCTGTAGGACCATCCCACCCAGCCAAAGGGCTGCTCTGTAGCAGTGCAGCATGCCTCCGGGGATCGCAACACCAGCAAATGCTGATACTACAGCTTCAAAAAAAAAAAAAAAAAAATCAACTGAAGTATTGTTCACTCCCTGCATCCAAGTCTTAATTATGATATTGTCCAATTAGAAATGTCAATTTCTTAAAAAGAATATTCCATCAATACTGTAAATTTTGTTTCCAGCCCCACTAAGGTCAGGGATACTAGTAAAGGTTTCTCCAGTTCCTTGTCACTTCTTGTTTACACGTCTGTTTAGATGAGTAAGCTGAATAAAAGCCGACCCAGTTGTTTTATCCCCTCTTAAGACTGCTACTCAGCTGCAGGTAGCCCAGGGACAGCTTTCTTCCCTGCCAGCACATCCTTGCTCCTGGCTCTCCAGCCGGCTGGCGCAGCGAGCTTCTGTCTTTCCTTTGGCGTGGAGGCAGTGGCTGGAGCCGGGCCACCGTGGTGCTTTGCCCCAGGAGGAGGGGTGGATTACTTGCAGTGAACCCACGCGTCATAAGCTTGCTTCCCAGGGCTCTGGGGGAGGAGAAGACAGCGGGACCGTGGCTCTTGTGCTGTAAATAGTGCGTTCCCGCAGCTAACCAGTAGCCGGGGGCTGATACGTGCTAAGCTCCCATCTAGCCCAGCTCTTGCCCAGCGGGGCTGCTGGCTGGCTGGGCAAATGGAGCTCAGCGTTAGGAAACCTGCCTTGTGGTGGTCGGCAGGCCACCGACGGATG